GGTGGCTCCTCTCTCCTAAACCTAAGCACCTCTTCGCAATTTGGTGGCGGCTCTTCGCAAATTAGCGGCTTCATTACAAATTGGTGATAGTAGATTTACAGCCACTTTCATAGACATTCTGGGCCACAGGTTGGACAAGCCTGCTCTATATGGTGGCTATACAGCAGTGGTGATTATATATTTTTCTGCCTTTTAAGCACATTTCAATTGCTCATTAAGACATTAAAATAAAGTACCTAGATTTTTGTTATAAGAACCGTTATCTAATTTTAATAGCTGGTGCCTGAATTATTTTCTTCTCTCCCTTCTCCGTTTATTTATATTGTCCTGCCTTTTAGAATGTAAGCCAATGTGGAAGGGCTGCATTGTTTGTTATTACTGTCATCTAGGACCATCTGGTAACATTCTTACATGAAGAGAACCAATGAATGAACGAACAAATGAATAAACTAACAAGCAAGATAGTTAGCTGTGAGACTGCAACATTAATCTTTTATATTTAGACTAAGGAGGAGAGCATATACTCAGTGTGCCCGTGAACTTTAAGAAACATCCCTTGATAATCCAAATAAGGGAGCATTATAGAATAAGTAGAAATAATTCAGGCATATTTCTGCAGCTTTTTATAATGAGTACCAAACATCATTGCTTAGAAAGTATTATTTTTGGACTAAAATTTTCATTATAAGAAGTCAATACTATCACTCAATTTGTAAAGCTATTATTAGTAGTAGTAGTGTTGTTGCTGTTGTTGCTGTTGTTGTTGTTGTTGTTACATTTATTTATACCCCACCTTATCTCCCCAAAGGGGAATCAATTTTAAACCTTACCATTTCTTTGGAGGAGGTCTTGGTCAGAGAAGGAAAAGAAACTGCAATAGAGGACACATAAACAATATATTAGTTTTTCAACCCCCAATTTATGAACCTTCCTTATGCTGCAAGATCTATGAGTATTACACATTGAAGAAAAAATGCTATATCAAAGGCAATATTTAAATGGAGCTTTGGTGGGGGTTTTGCCTGTTTTGTGTAAAAAGGTCTTTGACTCTTCTGTAGGTATTTAGCTAGCAGCAGGTCTATTTTCTTGTGTCTCAGTGAGGATTTTGTATGGTAATTTTCACATTTGCTGGAGTCTAGAGCACAGGGCCCACATGAAAATGAAAAACCACATTTAAAATGTAGGTTTTTTACCCCAGACCACACACTTTTGCAGGGATTTCGATGTCCTCCCACACAACTATGATAAGCAATTTCTCTTGGAACTTATAGAATTGCACTGGAGGACCTGGAGACACAAAAGTCAAACCCACAAATGTGGAGTACTGACTATATTAATTATTATCTCTTACACCTGTTCTAATAATTGTGTGGCTCCATGAAGAAGGATGTCCTTGTATTGATGTTGACTTTAAATTTCAGACCCCACATGACACAACTGTTTGTCATTTCAATGGTTTATAACAGTGTTGTATACTGTTATAAATTCCTGAAAGGGCAGACCTTCAGCTGACTTTCTTCTAAACCAAAAAAGGGGAAGGGCTGCTCCTTGGAGATGAGCCATTCTGCATCCGTACCAACTACTGAAAGCTACTTTAACATATGCCTCCTGATTCATGGCACCATTTGTACAATGCAAACTGATGTGTGGGTGTAAGAGATTATTTCTCCAGATTTGTGGGTGTTATGAAATATCTTCAGTGATTCAGAGTGAGAGGATAGCTTTATGTAACAGAAAAGGTAAGCATTGATAGCTTATTTCTTCTCCTCTTGTGTCTATGGGGAAGCACAGAGTGTGAGGCGTGACACTGTTCCCCCCCCCCCCACTTCCCCACTTTCTTATAAATGGGGAATGGAGAGACAGGGAATGTAACATAAACAGCTAGAATTGTTTGGGTGGCCAGATTGTGGCTAACATTCCTATTTCTAGGAAGACTGTACTAGGAGTGGGAATCATCGTGCTGCCCTAAAGATGCTGTTGGGAAATCTCAGAATTCCTCGTAGGAGCTGTAGTTTTACAAGGTCTTTAGCCTTTTCTGCCAAAGAATGCTGGAGCTTCACCAAACTTCAGTTCTCATGATTCCATAGCATTGAGCCATGGTAGTTAAAGTGGCATTGAGCATTGTGTCATAATAATGATAATAATAATAATAATAACTATTTATATATCGCCCTATTTCCCCTAAGGGACTCAGAGCGGTTTTCACATATGCAAAAAATACAAAAGACATACAATGTGAAACAAAGAACATAAGCATAAACTATTAACACAACTTATATATTAAAACCAATTTAAAAACCAGTTCCGCTCTCTTCTTTCATGCAAGGTAAGCTATTAGGGGCCAAAATTCTGATAAAGGGCCTAAGCTGTTGGGTGGGCTGGGCTGAAGCTAGTGCAGAGAAAAGAGAGGCATGGGGCTGACAGAATGCTACAGTGCAGGAGCCGGTCTCAACCATGGTCATACTGGGGGGCTGGGGGCCACTCATTTCCAAGGCCAATTAAGGGACTATTTAAAGGGTCTGGGTCAGAAGAAAAAGTGCTCTCAAATGGAAGGGGACTAGGGTAATGGCTGGAGTGCAAGGCCAAATCCTAACTGTTGGCCAAGGGCTTGGAACTTGAGACTAGTCAATTTTCGAAGGTCTGATGAAACTACCAAGTCTTCAAGTTCTTATGAAAAGAAGTAAGTGATGGAGCCTGCCTTATCTCTTTGGGGAGGGCATTCCAGAGGCAGTATCAAACTGCAGTAATTCTAGGGTGTAACTAGAACTCAGGAATCAAATTGCCACTCAGTCAAGGAAAGACATTGGGTGAGCCCCCGGTGGCGCAGTGGGTTAAAGCACTGTGCCGGCAGGACTGAAGACCGACAGGTCACAGGTTCGAATCCGGGGAGAGGCGGATGAGCTCCCTCTATTGGCTCCAGCTCCTCATGCGGGGACATGAGAGAAGCCTCCCACAAGGATGATAAAACATCAAAAAATCATCCAGGCGTCCCCTGGGCAACGTCCTTGCAGACGGCCAATTCTCTCACAACAGGAGCGGTTGCTCCTGACACGACAAAAAAAATAATTGGGTGATGTTAAGCAGGTTTTACTCTCTCAGCCTCAGAGGAAGGCAATGGCAAACCCATTCTGAACAACTCTTGCCAAGAAGCTGTCATAATAGGTTCACCTCAGGGGAGCCATATGTCACAAAAAATTTGAAGGCACACAGTAATAGCATTATAAAACTAAAACAGATGCAATTCTAGCCTACACATTTTTGCCTTCACTAAGATTGCCAACATATAGGTTTCTTGATGACCAATAAGAGCCTTATTACATAACAAAGGAAAACCCACAAATTGCCCAGTGACAACATACAAATAATAAATTACATTTCCCCACAGCTGTCAGATAGCTATAACATATGATTTAGACTGAGGCTTACACCTCCTGCCCCTACAGTTAGAAATCTATCGTAAATCTGCCCCTACAGTTAGAAAAAAAATTATAAAAGGAAAAAGTACCCATTAAAAACCAAGGAAAGTGTGTATGTACAATGTATGTGTAGGATGGCATAAAAACATGCTTCTCTGCTGTTTATAATACAAGGACATTCACTTTTTATATACACCACAATTCTAGCAGCTCTTCAAGGCATTTTTAAAAAAATGTTGGTATCCTTCTTTCAGATCCTACTACTCTTAAGGAAATTTTTATGTTCAGTTTCTTAATTTAGAACCAATTCGGTAAATCCTCTCAGCAATTTTACCAGAAGTAACAAGCCCCACATGCTTCCCTATTGAAGGTATTTATGTTTTTCTCACTGTATGCCCATACGTTGGAACTTTAGGCCTAAATCTTTTTATCTGTTCATTCTGTATTTGTTTATTTTCTAACTGAGGAAGTGAGTCTATGACTGTAATAAAATTATCATGTTGCAAGAAAGTTTAAAACTCTAGAGGTTTATGCCTCATTTTAAAAGTCCACCTCTGAGTAATGCCAATTGGTGTGAAACATCCAATTCACAACATGATTGTGGATATGTTTGTTTATATGCCCAACCAGGCATTAAGAGTGTATCCCTAAACAGTTGTTATGAACGGCAGCTTTTCAGATTTGAATGCTTAAGATAGGTTGCCTTATGCCTCTTAGAAAACCATTAGAAAAATGAAACCATGTTTCAAGCCAAAGTAACAAGATTCTACTCTCAGCAGGAAAACACCCACCAAGTGCTAAGTGTGCACCCCCTGCTGAAATATTCATAGCTCTTCTTAAAACCTAGTTGCAAGAGCAATCTGCAAGCATTTGCAAAATTCTACAGCCTGACAGGTAAAATCAGCAAGCTTTCTATTCCTATAGGAAAGCAGGTGGTAGACATCTCACAAAGATGCTTCTGTCTACAATTGTGATTTGTGTTTCTCACAGAGTCTCAAAAGAGCATTATTCAGGCATTATGCAGGTTGAGCCTCCCTTATCTGAAATGCTTGGGACCAAAGATTTTTCAGATTTTTTCAATTTTTGGAATACCTATATTTGCAAATAAATAGTGTATGCAAAACAGGAGAGAAGGAGGATGACTATACATCTAACACATGGTGAGTTTTACTCAGTCAAGGAGCTCATGCTCCATTACTTTCAGAAATTGGGAAGATGGGAGAGGACCATGGGTGGCTCAACCCATTATGCAAAGTAAGCATTTGCAGTATAGTTGATTTTGCCCAGGGGCGCTCTTGAGGCACTCTTGGGGGGAAATAGACCTTGACATATGCGAGTTGTAGTTACTGGGATGTATAGTTCACCTACAATCAAAGAGCATTCTGAACTCCACCAATGATGGAATTGAACCAAATATGGCACACAGAACTCCCACAATGAACAGAAAATATATATCAGTGATTGGTTGGGGTGGGGTGGGGGGCAAAATACTGTTTGCTTACCGTTGAAAATTACCTAGGGCCACCTCTGGAGAGGACTCTAGGTCTTGTGCCTTGACACATGAAGCAAGTGTCAAGCGAGGGAAGTGTCCAAATACACCTGATGTCTGCTTTTTACAAGGGTTTGTGTAAGCTTAGCCACAAGACGCAAATGGATATGTAGCTAGTCCCCTTACCTCAAAAGCAGAAGGGAGGTAGAAGCAAAAAGTTTTGAGTTGATGTGTCTTTCGGATTTTTGAAAAAGGGAGACTCAACCTGTACTTGTCTAACACTCATGTGAAGATTATAGCCATACTCAGTAGACAGATCCTTCATGCTTGTTAAGGAACCTTTATTCTGGTGTCTGAGGTCAGAATGAAAATATTCTCACCTGTCCATTGCAGATGCCAGCAATGCAAAAGCTGAATAAGTGAAAACATGTCTTTAGCTGTTTACATGCTTTTGCATGTGCTCCCATGAATTACATGATAAGGGCTAAAACCAATTAGTCATTGTATATCAAATTTGTACTTATGATGCAATATCCAATGCATGGGCATGGCCCAGGCCAAAAACATAAGAATTGAACGTAGCCATTTTCATTTTCATTTTGTAAATCTCAGAAATCTCCCAAAGTTGATTTCATTTTCAGCACAAGGAACCAAAGCGATGCCAAAAATATTGCCTTTCCTCTTTAAATAAATCACCTCTCGCCATTAGGAAAGGGAAGCAGTAAGGAGAAAGCAGAGCTCGCTGGGAAAGAAATCGCAGAATTCTGGGAAATGTGGTTTGAGAAGGTGAGGATCCTTATGCCAGAGAATTCAAAAGACTCTGTCCTAAATTACATTTCCCAGAATTCTGCTCAGCATCAGAAAGCCCCAATCAAGATATCCGTAGCAGCAGCCAGCCAGCGTTCCAATAAATTGTTGAAAATGCAAAGAGGAGAACTGGCTGATAGTAAGTAAATCTCTGTGCTG